GGACATGATAATCTATAAAGAAACTGCATTCAAAACAGAATAAGAGTACATGAAAGGTAAAAATGGCCATTTAAAGAAAGGTACAAAGGTACAAAAGCAAAGATTTTATTAATATGAATATCCATACAGAAAACACACATGTAAAAGTGAATATGCGGCCAATTACAATATCAGATCAATTCTTCGTCATCTTCAAATTGTGCCTTTGTCGATGCTTCAAGAGGTCCAATAGTTTCATCAACAATTGTTCCATCAATACCTTTCCTACCCCAATCCATGTCCTCCTCACAAGTGAAGGAAGCTACATCTAACTCTTGATCACCAAATCTTTCCACTTCGTTGTGATGTAGTCCTTCATCAATAGTTGGTTGTTCTCCACACACCTCATACAAGTCTCTAGATTTCATCTTGAGTACAACATTTCAATCTTCATCAACAGAATCATTAACATAAAAGACTTGTTGTGCTTGAGATGCTAGGATGAATGGCTCATCACTGTCTTGTTTCTTCGCATATAACAAGTGATTGAAATTAACAAGTGTAAAACCAAAATCATCTTGCTTGAGTCCCTTATTGTTATCAATCCAGTTGCACATGAATAACATGTATCTATGGTCGTGTGAGTAATACAATTCAATAATATCTGTCACATATCCATAGTACGCTACATCACCTTCCACTGGATTAATGTCTTTCGCACTTGCATAGCTAGAAGTCTTTGCCTTCACCATAACCCCATTATTCTGAGTTTTTCTTCTCAACTCACAACTCTTAGTATGATACCTAGTACCATTAATTATATACCCATTAAATCTGGTGGCCTTTTGGCTGGGTCCCAAAGCCAAAATTTTAATCTCTTCTGACAACGCTACATTTTCAGTAGCTAATAGCTCAGCAACCTATTTTTCAAAAAAAGTTATCAATATTAAACATCAATTAACAACTTCAAAAATATAGAAGCACATGGATTGCAAAAATCTAGAAGACTTGTGCTTAACATGCATTTACATGAGAATTGAACCATTTGGGAAACTCATCATTGTGACGACGATCCACATCATAATCTCTGAGATGACGATGTGACCGCTTAATAAATTCACGATGTTCCCTATACAATTAAACTACTTGTAAAATGCACGATAATTATAGTTGGTATAAATACATTCACAATGAGACAAAGGTTGCATCTATCTTACTCTCGATATGGGACAACCGCAGCAATGTTAAATAACATATACCGATGAGCCTGTACCCATGTTGTGTTATCAAGCACAAACCCTTTTCCTTTTCCTAAAGCCCGCCCCATTAATATCTCAGGATTGTCACTAACATCGCAATTCCTTAATGGTCGATGCAATTTCGACTCAACATCATGCAAGTACCTTGAGCAAAATGTCATACATTCTTCGACCAAGTATCCCTGTGCAATTGAACCTTCAGGATGACTTCGATTACGCATGTATGATTTTAGCGTCATAAGGTACCTATAAACAAAAAGATGCATACATGACTTCCAAGTATAAACAATCAAATATATACAAAATGGACATTGGAGTAGATTACACACCTTTCTATAAAGTACATCCATCGATATTGCACTGGACCGGCAATCTTCGCTTCCTCTGCTAGGTGAATGGGTAAGTGCTCCATTATATCGAAAAATGATGGAGGAAAAATTCTCTCAAGATGGCAAAGTGTAAGAGCGATTTGGGACTGAAGACGATTTAGATCATCCACCTCTAGGGTTTTGAAACACAAATGCCTGAAGAAATTGCTTAACTCAATTAATGGTTCAACCACTTTCTTCGGTAACAAATTTCTCACTGCTATTGGAAGTATTTGTTGCATGAGTATATGGTTATCATGACTTTTCAGTCCAGATATGCTCCGCTGTTTGAGGTTAACCCGACGAGAAATATTGGATGTGTAACCATCTGGAACTTTGATATTCTTTAGAAGTGTGCAGAATAGACTTTTCTCTCTATTGTTCATGGAAAAACATGTAGGCGATGGAGCTTCAATCTGAATCTTCGATGAAGCTTAGATCTGAAACTTCTATGGAGCTTCGATCTGAATCGATCTGAATCTTTGACAGAGCTTAGAGAGGGTTGAGAGAGAGAGAGAGAGATCTGTCCATATATATTAAGGGTTGAGACAGAGAGAGAGAGAGAGATCTGTCCGTATAAGGATTCAAAATAAGGGTTCGGAGGCGCGTGTTCTTGTTCAAAAAAAAAAAGAAAAAAAAAAAGAGGCGTGTATGGCTACCGTATTCAAAGGCGTTTTTAAACGCCTCCCATTATAAAACGGTGTCGTTTTGTGTAATAGAATATGCGGCATTTTATAAAACGCCGTTAAATACTAATAACAGTGACGTTTAAATAAACGTCGTTATAGAAACGCCACCAAATTCCCTTTCTCCTGTAGTGAGTGGCACAGAAGGTAGGCAACGCAGCTTCTGAAAACTATCTTTATTGACGCTCATGTGATCCTTGTGCATCTTTAGTTGTTGTAATTAATGCTCATATAATTATTGTTGTAATTATTAGTGTTGCTTATTATATTGATTGTAATTGTTATCATTATCATCCCTATTATAAGAAGTTAGATAACTAGTTCTTCATTTCTTATTTATTCATTCGAGTTTGTAATAAGTAGTTAGTTTAGTTAGTATTCATTCGGTGTTGTAATAGCTAGTAATTAATTCGAACACTTGGATATTCAGACCCTCTTGCATAAGGGCAAACTACATAATAATTATGTATGTCTTCCAACCCCCATTTCTTTTTCACTTTTATTTACCCACTTATAATGGTAGACTAGGGCATATTTAAATTAGCATACCTTATGTTATGCATGCGTGCATTCATACATTTGTCTTGCATGCACCAGGCTCGACACATCATACTAACTGCATTGTGTTTCAATTCCAAATTGAATACGTGTTAGTTGTAGCATTTCACATGTCACTGTAGATTAGCCGAGCCTATCTTAGTTGCATTTTACATGTGTTGCATTAGCCATCTTAACATGAACTAGGATCATGCATATATTGTGTGTTTGTGTTGCCATATCAAGCATGCTTTCTATGAGGCTAAGTGCTTAAGTGATATACTTGTTTGAATGCTGGTAGATGAAGGCCTTTTTACTTAAGTTAGAATAAATTGATTAAAAATAAATACGAGTTTGCTTTTTTAAGTGACAAGTATTCAAAACACTTTTTAAAAACAAACATAAAATCAATGTGTTTCAAATTTTGTGACTTGGTCTATACTTGTGTGCATCACATAATAAAGATAGCCTAATAATCAGAATGAGAGCATATAATGTAAATAAAAATCATATCATCATTAGTAGAGGCCGATATTTGATCGGGTGAGTGGAGTGCTCAATTCATGACCTTCCCCTCTCATACTTAACTTCCCGAGCCGAGACATTTTGGTGATGATGGACTACTGGCCTTTGGCACGAGTCACGGGTTTCCTAAATTTTCCAAAAATATTAGGTGGTGAGTCTGAAAGCTGGCAAAGCAGTCCATTTTTGGCATTTGATTCAAACATCGATTTTTCAAAAGATTTTCCAGATTTGGACTCATTTGTATTTATCTATTTCACATTGCATTTGTGAAATCAGATTCAGGACCACAGGAGTCCAAACTATAGGGCTAATCATATCCGAAAGGAGCACGAAAAGCAAGCTACAGATGCAGGTTCACAAAATAGTACGATGCAGGTGAA